ACACCCACACCCACACCCACACCCACACCCACACCCACACCCACACCCTTCTTTACGCATTGGATTCTTGTAAGAAGCAGTGCGATAGGAAGGTTCTCGCTTGAGTTTTTGAAAATTTGTAGAGTCTGCATTGGATTTTTTCAAAAAATTTCGGAAATGTTTCTGATCTTTAGAGTTCTAGTCTCCTGCTTTTACCTCCGGTGGCATTTAGTCGCTCATTGTATGAGTACTACAGTGAGTATCCTATCCAAAGAATCCGTTCGTATAACAGTTTTGTCAATAACTTGAAAACGAAAGAAGATAAAGATCTGCGATTTTTGCAGTTGGATACAAAGAGATTCTAGGCTGTGAAAGTATGCTCAAGTTTATTTGATCTATATAATGACTAATCGAACTTTCGCATACTTTCATGATCAGTAATTTGAAATTATACGAGACCGTAAGACAAAAAGCTCATTAAAAGCAACAAATAAGATTAAACTAATTGGAATGAGAAAGAAATCCAAGCACATTTTGCAACAGTTAAAATCGATAGCTTATAGTAAAACCATGAAACCATCGACTTTTAATATGTCAAGAATACAATATTAAATTTTCCTAAGGAACATCGGGTAATGCCGCTAGTTAATAAAAAGAAAAAAGGAATTATTTAAAAAAAAAAGAATAAATATTTCGGTTAAATTATCAAAATAAATCTAAATCAATAGTTTTATTATTGGTTTTTTTTGTATTTTTATTTACATCAATGAAATATACTAAAACATTTGTATTTACACAAATCTTTATTCAATATCCTAATTTACAATATTTACATTTTTGTCCATCTCCAAGTTTATATGTGCATTTATCATTTTCTAATTTATCTTCAATTTTCGTATCTTCATATCTATTAGAATTACATGTTTATTTGACAAATTTTACTGATTGTCTTTATATACTCGGTGGACGTTTTTATCAACTTCGTACTTTTTATGTTAATATTTCTTTGATAGAATCCGAAAATAAAAACATTGATAAAAAGGTAAATTATTTTAATTTATATCTAATATTTATTCGAAATATTTCATTATATTTTTTGATTTTATAGAAAAAGCTTGTCAGCGCAGCCCCTTTGGGGATAAAATGTGGAACTCACATATCTTCCTTAACTTAATTATGGTAAAATCTTTCTTCAGAACATTAAACATTGCTAAGGTCTGTAATGGGGATGTCTGTAATGGCGACCTGTCTGTAATGAGGGGGGTGTCTGTAATGGGGGGTATGTCTGTAATGTTCTCTTTCTTCGTTGCTAAGTGTCTGTGATGGGGGGGGGGGGGGAGGGGGGGAGCCGCCAAACCTCGAACTGAAAACTTACACTCACTATTTTCTTCGAAAACATACGTGAGTTCCACAAAAACTATCGAATTTAAAATGTTTTTCATTACACTTTTATACGATGACAGATGCTTATAATGAAGTAATTTTACCATTTCTATATCGAATGTCAAATTTAGAAGAACTTGATTTAAGTCTTTCTCTTTCAATAGAAGAAAAATTTCTTGATGGAAATGATATAAAGAAAAATCTTCTCAATCAAATGATGCAATTAAACAAATTTACATTTAATATTTACTCAATTCTTTATTGTCATAATCAAATTAATTTACAATCAAATGAAGATATACAAAATACATTTAATGATTATAAATATAATACAATTATTTGTTCTATTGATTATTTTAAAAAACGTTCTAGTCAATGTCGAATTTATAATTATATAACAAATAATTTTTCAGATGAATTATTCAAATGTGTTCGTCAAATATCATTATTCGATGAAAAACCATTTGAACATGAATTTTTCCTTCGAATGGAGAAATCATTTCCATTTTTAGAGAATATTTCAATACATAATTTTCAACCACAAAATAATAAATCATGTACAGAATCAAATAAGGATAATCAATATTTATCAATTGTGAAATATACGTATCTTACTAATCTTTCACTTATTAAAGTTCATGATGATTATATTGAACAATTTTTAGTTTATACAAAAGTATCTTTACCAAATAATGTTCATCTTAATATTAGTTATGAATCATTGAAAAGAGTAACAAACAATTTTACTAGAAATGCAACACAAATCAATTGTAGAAAATTAAAGTCTTTGTGTGTAAATGTTAGTGAAATTTCTAAACATGTTCAAGATTATTTTCTTCATACAGAGATAACCTGCTTATGATTGAATTTGATACAAATAAAATTCCATTTATAGAATAAAACTATTCAAATAGAGACAACTGTATTAAGGTCAAGACTTTAAAATAATAAACTCATAACACACACTGTGTTGGCAACTATCACGAACTAAATTCACCTTACACTTTATAGTTTCATCTAAAATATAGGAACTTATTGAAGGAAATGAATATGAATTTTGAATAATTGTCCGTTATCAAGTTGATCAATCAGGACCAAAAGCTTCATCAAGAGTTATTGTCGTTAAAAATTCATTTGGTTTGTCATATGATTTTTCAAGAAAAAACCCTGTTGCACCTAATGATTTAGCTGCAAATGCAATTAATAATGAATGGATTAAGTTAAATTAAAGTTTTTATCTCTATGTTATGAAGGCAATATTTATATATTTTTTTCACTTTAAAAATGATGTAAATATCAAAAGAACAGTTCAAATGAAGTCTTTTCGCCTCAAATAATATGCTGTCAATATTATGAACATATTTCGAATTAAATTTTTCAAAATTATAGTTATCAGCTGACTGAATCCCAACTGACCTAATAAAGTCGTTTGTTAACCGTAGTTAACTGACGGTTTTGAAAAAAAAACTATCGATTACCGTCGATTTTCACAAAAAGAAGGCGACATGGGATATGATCATGCCCATAGGAAAATATTCAATTTTATATCAATCATAGTTTTTAATATAGATTTAGCTTTCACATATTTATGACAACAAAGGAAAAGATTAAATTTTATATCAATCATATTTTTCAACACAGATTCAAATGTGACATAATCATGACAAAAAAGAAAATATTCAATTTGACGTCAATTATAATCTTTAATACAGATTTTATCTTCACATAATCATGACAACAATGAAAAAGATTAAATTTTATGTCAATTCTAATTTTCAATATAGCTTTCGCTTTTATATAATCATGCTAAAAGCAAAAGATAAAATTATATGTGAATTATTATTTATAATTCAGATAAGACTTTCATATAAACATTAGATTATTCAAGCTAGAGCTGAGTTCTCCTAAATAGCATCCATGATCATTCTGAATCGTGTCACTCAAGATTAGGAAATGTGTTTTGAGCCAGCCAATTTCTCATTTTGTAGACATACGTTATAGTTACTTCAGAGATAAATTCTATCAAAGTTGACGTTCTAGAATATTTTTACTGAAAAAAATGCATATGCAAAAAACCATAAATCTAGGTCTTCGTTCTAATGATATCAAATATTTACTGAATTTATCAACAAAATTCTGCAGTCCTCTCCGAGTCACTTTGCAAGTTGACTTTACAATTTCGACTTGGGTGTGGGTGTGGGTGTGGGTGTGGGTGTGGGTGGTGTGGGTGTGGGTGTGGGGTGTGGGTG